TGAAGTATCAGAATCAGTTGGTTTTCTAGCTAACCCCAAATTAAATAGAAACTGGCAGCATAAAATGGTAAAACATGTTCCAGAACTCAAAAGTGAATAACATGTTTCCTTCATGCACTCTCCGAGGTAAAAAAAAAAAAAGAACATCAGCATTTGCTAATAAGCACAAATAGAAATTTCAGCCTTCAAAACCACAGTAATACACTCAATTGATATTCCTACCTACAGTCTAAATATTTTTCTATTTGTCACTTTCTTCTGGTAATGTAATACCACAGCTGAAATTCGAACATTTGGTCTATATGTTAAAATACACTGTACCAGCCAGCAATCCTTCTGTAGCACATCAGTTGTCTCCAGTGGAATTATTTCAGTGCACAGCACTATTTCAGTGCACAGCACACTTAACAGAATTTCCCTAAGTATGGAACATAGTTAAGTCTAAATCAAAGCGAGCAAGTCTCACACATTAAGAGATGACATGAAGTGTGATTGATGTCTGTTGATTAAAATATTCAGGAGCTTCACTTCAGTCTATAAAAGGTTGCCACTCTAGTTAAGTTTAAGAAATTACTCCCGTTCTGGAAAAAACAGAATGGGAGTAATGTTTCTTGACTTTGATACTTCATTTTTCCATTTTCACTGAGATTTTTTTGTCTATTAAATAAGAATAATTTGTCTCACTTTTTAAAAACTTTGTGGATTAGTTTTTTGTTAATTTATAGATCTCTAATCAATCAATGGACAACGTTCTAATGGATTCACCTTCGATAGCTAGTGAGCCTCCCTGCTGATGTAGCCCACACTGATGAAGGTTTCTGCATTTTATAGCTTTGCGACTGTGCTGGAGACTGCTCCAGTGAAGACAAAACAAACAACTCCAAGGTTTCTGATGGACTTGTTGACATTCTGTTAATCAAAATATGCAACAAAAGTTCTGCCAGCTACATGATGTCTTCATGGTTGCAGCTGTTTGAATGAAACTGCTGTTAGTGCTGTACCTGGCAGTGAAAGCCTCAATAAAAATGGTGCACTCGTTGAGCTCCATACAGAAAATAGCTCATGCCACAGATGCAAACTGTTCTCTAGGTTCTCTCGGCCAGCAGTAAAATACAGCTCATCTTCATCATTTTCTGCACTAAGTACAAAACTTAGTGTGTCACTGGTGGTTGTTGTGAAGAGCCTAATGCCAGAACATAGATCAGGCTGCCTTCCCAGTTCCATACTTGTTTAACAATGTGAGTGACACAGAGATCCATGTCTGCAGAATGATACTTTGTGATCATTTTTAGCAAATTTCAGTATCACTTTTCAGAAATAGTTTAGATGTCAGCAACTGTTTACAATTAAGGCAATTTGATATTTACGCACTGAAGAAATATACTTCGTAACACAAGCACTTGGGCAGACATCCTAAATTAGTCTCACTTTTTGCCTGGAATCAATAATATTTCAGGGTTATTGCAGCAAAGCCTATCCTTCACCATTTCCTTCTACAAAATCATAGTAGAATCAAATGGTACCATTCAGAAAATCTAGACAAATGTAGTAGCACACATTTACTTTGGCCTATGGGATAATCTTTAACATTAGACAGCATGTGACCTGATGTTAGTCCATCTACTAAGTAGCTTTTATTTTAGTAAAGAAGTAAGAGTGGGAGAATTCATATGAAAAGAGATTGTATTATAAGAAACAACTGCCTTCAAAACTGATGTAATTCCATAGGAATATCAACTACCAAAACTATCGACAATAATTCTGTAAGTCAATGTGGAATGTCTTCTGTCATAGTAGTGCACTGTAGGTGGCAGATGAGAAAATCAGTCTAAGATCAAAACAGCTCTGGTCTGAAGACAGATGAAAATAACAGACAACTCTAGAACAACTGTTGTATTTTTTCAAACAAAACACCTATTAAGGAGCTATGTCCCTAAAAAAAGATAGCAAAACTAATCTAAAAGAGATATCTTTATGCAGTTCTTGTATTTAAATGTAATACTTTAACAAAAATGTTAACAACCCTGTTCCAAAAATATTTAGATCCAAACAGCAGCTATTAGATTCCTAAATAAAATTACTAGAAATTTAAAAATATCATCATTGAGTATTTTCACATTATAGATTTTGACATTATTAAGGCAAGAGAAAACAAAATCTCATTATTTCAGACTGAGAAATGACAGATGTGCAATTTCAGCTTTAGAAACGAGAGCTTTTGCTGTTAGCATAAATGATGAATGTTGGATGTTGCTGGATTTTAACCACAGCAATCTCTTTCAAGTTTGCTGTCAACATTCCCAGAGGCATTAGTTTAGAGATTTTTGAAAGACTTAGCTTATCGGATTCAGCTCTGCTGTACTCTTGTATACAGCACTAAAATTTTCTTCAGATTTAAATTCCAATTTAGGTCTTTACATAGAAAAGCAAATAAGTTCATACTCCCAACAGCCTAGACATACTTACAGTAAAGAGTTGAGTTGTGCTAGAGTAGAAAGTATTTTAGCATGTAAAAAAATATCCAAGATGGAATCTTATTCAGGGATCACTTTCATTCAGGTGTAAATACTAGCTCTAAAGCAGTTTTTAAATTAAGGCACATTAAGAATAAAAGTGTTCTGAAATTTTAATTTAATCACAAACTGCTTTCCACTCCTTCTGCTACTACTTTTCCTCTACATCTGCTTCTAAATTCTACAATTAGATCAAAACCATAGGAATTTGTGTGATGTCCTTCTGCACATCCATTTTTGACAAGGCTGTATCCCTAGATATTGGCCTGCAGCTCACATTAACTTCAGTATCAATTGCTTCTGTGGGGTGAAGACAGGGCTTAGAGAGAGATGAATATGGTACTAACATTCTACAAACATGATGGCTTTAACATAGTCATAGCAAAATTTGACTGTAACAAGCAGTCCCACATAAACTAATGAATAAATTTTTCTGAGTGTTGTTGATATGATAATGTATTCAGGTTGCATACTACTCATTTTTAGCAACAAAAATTATACCAGGGTAATACTGGTATTTCCATTCAAGAAAAAACATTATCTGATATGCAGATTTCTTAACTCAAAAGCTGATTTTAGAACAGCAGTTTCTTTGTTGTATGGGATTTTCATGTATCTTTTTTATTTACTTTGTTGGAGAAGCTAATAAAAACAGGGCTGAGCTTTGAATATCCAAGGAGTACCTTCACCATCACTGAAGACTGGCTTCCATCAAAAATTTGAGAAGTAAATGTAAGAAAACACTGTAAAAATTTATTTTTTATCCTGGACTAAATTTTATTTTTATTTTGACATTTCTTCTTAGGATGACATAATTACATAATAAAAAATAAATTATTTTGGCTATCAACTAAATACAATCTCAAAAGTATTGAAGTACTCTCAAGTCTGCTGTAAAACATTAAGGAACTGAATGGTATAAAATTTATAGCTTATTCAAGTGTCAATTATTTTATGCTGAAATAGAGGGCCAGTGCATTTCTAAAAGCACAATAATGAACAACTGTATTTCAGGACCACATTGAAAAAAAAAAGAATGCCTGATATTAGCTTGTCAGATTTGTATGTACTTAGTACATATATAAAAAGGTTCCTGATTTACCAAATGCTAAACAGAACCGAGAAACAAACCACCATATTTTTTGTATGATTATTGACAACCACTACTTTGGGCAAGAATTGAGGAACAGGTAACTAAAGTGTAGAAAATATCTGAGTACCAGAAGGGACAGCAATTTTTTGATCTGAAATATACAAAACGTTTTATTTAAAAATTATCTGGTTTTTTACTTTAAAAACTGAAACTGGTCAGTAGAGTACTATTTCGGGCCAATATGGAAAAAATATTATTTCTTAAACCACAAAAGGACAGTTTCACATAATGTCATGAATAGAACTTTAGCCTTCAGTAAAGAGGAAACAAAATTCACTTTGTAATATGAACCTCTATCAAAGGTGGAAGATAGACAAATATTACATGCTATCTAGACTGCCATGCCAAGAGGGTAAATTTAAGAAAGAATTTCCTGGCTTTGGAGTCCATAAGTATAGTCAGTAAAAATTCCACATAAAAGTGGAAGATTTTTACAAATTTCCTAGGAAAAAGAGAGGACAATATTTTTCTGTGTATTACTTCTCAGCTGAGAAGGTCCATTCTTAAAGGCCAATTCATTTACCAAAAGGCACTTATACCTCAAAAATCATTTGAACTTCAGTAAAATGGGTTGAGCATACATCTATCCATCAGCAATCCACGTACCAGACCCCATTACAACATAATGTGTTTTGAGAGCATGATTTACTGTTTCATAATATATTTTAAAGTGACCTTTCTATATTTTGGTGATAAGTTGTAAGTACCATAAAGTCTGCAAGCTGGTGACATTTCATTTTGCAATTTTTAATGTTTCAGCAGAAAAGCTAGATAAAATATTTTGAATACTGTATTTCCAGCTCCGCTCTTATCTAATTAAAAAATAAATTACAAATGTTGGATCCACTAAAAGTAAGTTTAGTTTAAGGTAACTGTGGCTTGAGCTAAACACTGCTTCATAACATCCACGGCCTTTGTAGAGAATAGAAGTTTATTTGTTGTTTTTTTCTTGTCCCTGTCATTTTTGTTGAGATCAGAAGAGATGGATGTGCCTGTTTTGTTTTCTTGACCTTCTGAATAAACAGATGTGCCAGAAGTCTGAAAAAAGCCAATGGCAGTGCTGCTGTGCACAGCATTATACACATACAAAAGGTAAGAAAAACTTTTTTAACCAAATCAGATTTTTTTTTAATTTTATGCAACTTAAATGCATAGGAAATGAAAAGAGAATGAACTCAATTTTTTTCGCATTTCCATGTCTGGAATTTTCATTTTGATGTTGTCAGCACGTTCTGTTTGAAACAGGACAAATACAATGTGATTGTTAAGTAAGTGCACTGTCCAGAGAACCCACTGTGACTGCAAAACATTTCTTAGAAAATTAAAAAAAAAAAAAAAAAAAAAAAAAAAAAGGCCCTGTCTCGAGGTGGCACATGGTGACCTGTGAATTATGCCTGAGACACCTACAGTGCTAATAAATGACTGTTTCAGAGAAGAAATAGGCTTCCTAAACAGACAGAAGTCTACAAAAAACCTGGTTTCAATGGCATTAATGTTGCTACAGTACTCTGACAGATTTGGCAAATCTTTTAAAGCACATTAGTAGTGATTGACCCAGAAGCACTCGAGAGGAGAATAAAACAAGGACCATCAGAAACACTTGCATTTCTTTTGACAGCAGAAAATTCTTCTGTGATATGCTATTTGAGACTCCTGTAATGCAAAATTATATCCAATTTGTTTAGAATATAGATATCTGAACAAATAAAAATGTGCAATATCATATTTCCATATCATTTTACAATCAATATGCCACATCTTCTCTAATAGAGAATAAAACAATAAATAAACGATCATTAAACCCTAATATTAAAATTTTCACAGCCACATAGCAGTGTCATTCCACAATCTTTAATACAGAAGGGTGAGATTCAGATGCTTTAAAGTGCCTTGCCAGAGGTCATCTGATAAAACTGCTCTGGCCAGAAGAATAATTCTAGACAGCTTATAACAGATATATGCTGAACCTGAAACCAAGATATGAATTTTCAATAATTTGAGAAAATTTTGCGTTATCACTCCTTTCTTAAATGATTTTTGCAAACCGAAGAACCTACGATCACAAATGTGTCTGTACAACACAGTGTAATGACTCTCATAATAATAGGTATTTTCTGGATATTTTTTCATTATTAATAATGTTATTAAATGTAATAAAAAGCCAACTGTCAGAACAATTCCTGTATAGGGATAAATAAGCTCATAGCTAAGATTAATGTCACAGGTATTTCACTTCATAATATTTCAGGAATACAATAAATTTAGTCTAGGAGTATTGGAGAAATAAATACAAGAGAATAGCAAAATCCCAGAAAGCCTTTGGTGTACAAGTCACGTACATTTTCACAAGACTTCATCAGGATCACTCTTGGTGCTCTTTCATTTCAGTGTTTGGCAATTGATGAATCATTAAGAGTGCATCACTCCTATAGCAGATGGAATTATTACTTTTCAAAACCAATAAAAGAGTGGAATGGAATTTACCACAGAGAAAACTGGTGTGGTTTCATAAATGTTCTACTGCTTTCCTCTTTCTGCTTGCAGCTTCATTTCACTGACAGCAACATTGGTAGAATCTTCCTTGGTGGCACTTGTATCAAAAGGAACCATTCTTTTCGTAAGTGCTAGAAATAAGTCACACAAAATGTAATTAAGCATCTTCAAAGAAACACATGCAGTCAATGCCCTTAGAGGCCTTTTTGAACCTATGATTCTCCAAATTTGCTGACTGACCATTGATGTCTATTTAAAATATCAATTTCATTTTTCAATATGATAATTTATGCAGCAAGTAATACAGTATTAATAAATATTCGATATTCACAAGGCTATGAATTGAGAAACTGACTTATTTTTCTAGAGAAACAGATTTTAATACTTTATAATACAGGCACGGTCAAAAGCTTTCTTATACAGAAGAAACGTAGACTGCATTTTAAAAATATTTTCTAATTTCAGTAAGATATTTTCCATTTAGTTTTCCAGAATTTTTGTTTAAATAAGACAAAACAAACCACTCAAAAAATTTCTGAAGGACTATCTTTACCAAAAGCATGGACTAAAGTCAACAAGTGACACTGAATAGGTGTTCATATGCTGCCATACTGTGTATATACCTTCACAGTAGGTTGCATATATAATGCTTATTTCTAAATACATTATGTTGCATCAAAATCTAGACAATATAAATTGACAAAACATCTTATGCTAACAAAAAAAATCCAGATGTGGCAAAAGGCAGAAATTAAGCAAAGGAAAGCAGATATCAGCTTATACAACAACATACCCTTTTTCTAATGGCCTTCCTTACATCATAAGCATGTAAGAAAAGTGGTACTCCTGATTGTTTGTAATAAATTGTAGAGTGCAATTTTTAATGATCCAGCAAATTGTAGCAGTATATAACCAGAAGTTATTTAAAAGGGAGCAAGACTTCACAGTTTGATTAGAAGGAGTGATATGCTTTCACCTTCAGAAGGAGAATGAAATCACTCTGTTTGGGACATTAGTCTAACAGTGAGTTATAAGTTTGCAGCATAAAGTTTTCAGTATTGGTCCAAAACTGTGCTACTGTATGCTATTTCAGTGGTACCTCCTGCAGACAGTATTCAAAGTAAGGTGAAAAACAATAAAGTTCATTGCTAAACTAAATCAATTTGCGTTTTTCTAAGTGATGATGTCAGGTTTCCAATCATTCCAGATTCTTATCCTTAAGCAGCCTTAGAAGGTTTTGTTCTAGAACGGTGTGCCGTGGCATAATGATGTTGTAGGGTCTTTTTACTTTTAATTACGTTACTTATTTATAAATGCAAAACAAATAGTCTTAAGAACTTATGAAAAAGTATACAAAGAGGGATAAAGAGAGGCATCTGCAATACTGCAGGAGTTATGACAATAAAATCTGCATTCAGGACAACTTATTTTCATTCAACCATGATATCATTCACAGTATATATCATGTTGACACAAGAGTGTTGTCTATCACCAGAGCCTAAAGGTCAGAGAAGACTGCGACCTCAGCTACAGAAGTTGGGAAAACTGGTGGCTATTTTCTTCTCTGTAAAGTCACAGCTTATGATGCCCTGGAACATAAATTCCCAACAATAACAGAAAGCCTGTAAGACGTATACAGTTTCTGGGAAACCATCCAGGTTAAAAACTCGAAGTGATGAAACGTACAATGAGAAAGGCAGGACTCAATTCACGAAGCTAATGCAAAGCATGTGTAACTCTAGGGACTCCTGTAATAAAAATTTCAGGAAAATACAGTGGCCATTAAAAAGAGTTTCTGAGGGTTATTCTTTAGATAACAACTAGTAGTGACTTTTTGAAGCAACCATTTTGGGCTGATAATAATACAGACTGCAAACCATGTCTAATGAATGCTTCCTTGAATAAATTATTTTCTCAGTTAAACTTCTTCCTTTCTAAGAAAATGGGTATAGAAATAAAAGCACATTCCCACAGCATCTTTTGAAATAGTTTGTAATGGAAAAGCTGTTATAGTTGCAGAAATTATACCAGAAACAAAACAGAATGTTAATGTTAATTACTTTTCCTTTTAACTGTTTGCTGCATTGGCAAGTTTTTAGGAAAGATATATATGGAAGGAGATTGTTGTTCCCTTGTTTTCTCATATTATTTGTCCTTTCTTCAATCAGTTCTAAGATTCAATCTCAGGATCCCCCTCACAGATAATTAAATTATATCAAACGTGTCTTCTCTCCTTCCTGGTGCTCTCTACAAAGAGACCCATATTGGGAAGAAAGTTTCTAGTACTATTTATTGACTCTATAGTTTGTAGGGTTTCATGAATTTAAAAAAGATGGAATGAGGAAACATAAATCCCAAAGGCTTGCAAACAGTTCCAAAAGGTAAATGAAAAAAAAACACAGTCCATTCTCTCCTAAGAAGATAGGAGATAATTAATCACAGAAAATAGATGATGACATCTGTAGGTAGATTTATTAAAAGCTACAGGAGATTTGGGAGCAAAGATCTCAAATTATACTTCACTGTCAAAGTCTCAAATTATAACTAATTAATATCATTACTGAAATTAAAAGTTCATGGTTCACTATCATGACTGAAGTAGCTGACTTTATCATTTGCCACTCACTGGAAAATCCCCTTAGTGTTAATACCACTGCAGAATTTTCACTGTTCTCAGGAACTATAGCAACAACTTCAAAATACACATTTGACTGGTGAAGATCAGGTTCAGCATAAAGTGATAACAGGTCACTAACCAAAGTCTATGGAGTAATCCACATACCTTACTGCCATAACCACTAAGCAGTGAATTGAATCACTACTGTCTTTCATTCATCACTTATTTTTCAGATCCAGAAAGCTTAGTGCTTAGTGCTGATAAAAACAGTTGAATAAGAGAATAAATACACAGAACTGTTTAATCAGATTGGTATTCAGATCACATGGATCCTATTTCTCTTACAACTGCCTAAAATTTATTAAAAAGTTTTAAAGGAACAAAGTTCTAGCAAGATCCATTCACGTTAAGCAATATAAAGACATTGTAATATTTTAGGAACATTTATGCTGTATTTTTAAATTTCAGTAAGTTTTTGCAGTGGAATCACTCCTGGAATTGTTGAGACTGGAAGTGACTGCTGGAGGTCATCTAGTCCATCATGCCTGCAAGGCATGGGTTACTTCTTTTCTATACCAAAAAGAGGCTGAACTGTACTTTGATTTGCAAGACTTTGACAGGGATGAAGTTTGAGAAAAAGGAAAAATCAACTCTGAGTCAGGGTAAAGTGTTCCTGAAATACAGATGGGATGGAGGCATTTGCTCTTATGCTTTATGCCCATTATTGTTATTCAGTATGCTCTGCAAAAAGATACTAACCACAACCCACAGATTGTGAAAGGAAAAGAAACCAATTACCTTTAACCTCATCAGATCAATTCAGGACTTAGTAGTGAGCAGTAATGTACTGCAGCACTCATTCTAAGATGCAGCAGTTTCAAAGTACAATGAAGCCTGAAATACGACTGAATAGGTTGCCAGTACACAAACTGGCTATATTGAAAAGAAATGGAAGGTGATACCCTTCCGAAGAAAAGTATTCTGATACTCGTGTACTGACATGCTCAAAAAAACCCAAAAACCTTAAAACCTTTTTTTGTAAGTTATTTTTGACACTTATGCAAAGATGTGCCTGTACCAGATCAAGACCTACCATGTCCTATCTTTTATTGAGCAAGTACCTGCTGTATCAGAGATCCTGTGACTTTACAAGACCACAACTTGTATATGCATGAGGGGATAGAAAGAACAGTTAACAAACACTATTGAAGTGGAAGCAGTGAATTTAGCTTTTACTGTGAAAATGCTACACAAGCATGAGCCTAACTGGTACCTATGAAAGATCTGGGAAAGAACATAGTTTAGGATTTCTCTGGTGCCTGAAAAGATACACAGCTTACAGAGGTATGATTCATCACGCAGAGATTCAGAATCCAAGTGCAGCCCTATTCTTTGGCATAAGTTTAAGTGATGAACAGAATATATTGTAGGTCCTACTTAGAAAACCCCAAACAACTATCAGCAGGATGTAATGAAGTACTTCCTAGACAAAGGCATCTATTCAGTATCTAAAGGTAAAACACAGAAGGATGCTTAAGATGGTTCTAGCACTTCTTTTTTGAAAAGTAAAGTGCCTTACTTTTTCAAGTAAAAAAGGTGTTACAAGAGAAGAATACGTTACTTGTAGATTTTTTCTGTGATATAATACTTACAGCCTGAATCTGAGAGCAGTGAGCTGGACAAAAAGTTGTTTTGAGTTTGCCAACTAGAAGAGTGAGGAGCCACTTCTATATCAGAAATCTCAGCATCCATTTTCACATCCTATGGGAGCCAAATAAAAATAATTTTATCTGTTACTATCAAGTAGTTGTAAACTTTAACAAAAAACATAGAGTAACACACATACAGGCATATGCTGTGATTTCCCACATGCTGAAAAATACTGATTTCAATGCTCAGAATTCTCAGTATTGCAGTTAGGTTCAAACTAATTTGCATATGAATTTCATTCCCATTTCATCACTATAAAATGTCTGCAAAAAACTGCTTTGCCTTGAGAAAAGCATTAGTGGCATTGCAAGTCTTTGCCACTACAGTAAGTTGTAAAAATGCTCTCTTTTCAGTTCACATCACATCCACAGTTCAGGGCAAACCATAGTGGCAGGGCAGACATCAGTGAATGATGAATACCTAATCGGTTCACTGAAGTTCCACAAGTAAGTAGTAATAAATATTAAATGCATTTTCCCTGCCACTGAGGAAACTCAAACTTCATTGATTTCTCATATAAAAATACCTGAGGGTGCTTTTTAATTTTTTTGTTAAACCATTAAATAAAGTCTAAAGTACAATGCTACTGTTTATGACTAAACCTACACAGCATAGGAAAGGAAAAGGAAAGTCACTTGGTCTATAAGCTAAGAAGAAAAGATAATTTTAAAAAGGTCATTTAAACAAAATCCCTGAAAAATCTCTATTAGCTCAGCAGCAAGTAGTCTCCCGTTACAATACCATCCAAAATAAGATTAAAAGTTTGGCATGGTATCCAAATTACTCAGTTCCTTGAAATGAGAAGAGGTAATAATGCACAAATGCATCAGTTCATAAAACATTCAATTTTGCTACTGAGTTATTATCATAAACAGGCTCAGTGAATTTTGTTAAAACATTTGCAATTTGTCACTCATGCTGATACTAAGTTTTGTAAAATAAATAGAAAACAAAAGAAAATTCAACATTAATTTAGAGATACAGTGAACTTTTGTTCATTACTGAAGAAGGATTTAGTCCTGTTAACACTAATGGGAATTATACATATTAATCCCCTTATGTGCTGATGAGAGACTTAATACCTAAGGTGTTCATAGCACAATAACAACTTTTAAAGGATACAAAAAAGTTTTTGTTGTTCCATTCTGCTTCCAGAAATGCTATCTTAGAACAGAGCTTTTAAACAAGCAAGGTGCTTCTACCAGTATCTGTGCACAAAATGGCTTTATCTTTATAGAAATTTTAACTTAGAGAATGTGTCTTTTCTCATGTGCTTCATGGGCAATTACATCTCTATGCTGTGTTTGACTAGATGGTCAATTATCTCTAGCTGGGAAACTGCCCTAAAATATTTGTATCTCTCCATAATAACATTTATCTTTAGTTTTCCTCTAGCTTTCTGTTTTGATTTAGCTTCTATTGGTATTTGTTTGTAGTTATTTTACTTTAATATGTTATTTTTACCTTTTTCTTTTTCCCAATTTCTTCTTTATCTGCTATCACTTGGCCTTTTCTTAGTTGAAAAATCAAGATTGTTATACCTGATGGTATTCTGCCAGCCTCTGGCCTCCTTTTATTACTGGAAATCTTACACTTCAACACATACAAATAGCAATTGTGATTTTTCTGGGCTTCTAAGCAACAGGTATTTTATAGCCATCTGACAAGACTACAGAAGAGCAGGAAGATTGAGTGTGGACAAATGAAATCATAGGAAAGGAAGAAAAATAACTGCCTTTAGGGAAACATTCAACTGTGGTTTAATTTTTCCTCCTTAAAATGAAAAAAGGCTGGGACACAGGATTAGATCATGCCTGTCTAAGATTAATGTTGGCAAGCAAGCTGAAAGAAGTGCATTATAAGAAAGCCTAGAAAGAAGACCATAACACAGGAAAAAGATTAATTCTACAAGTAATTTTATCTAAAATGGTCAACGTAAAAACTTAACAAGAAACATGCACTATCTTATCCCATACCAAATATCTGTCTACTTTGTTGTGCAGAGACACTATGTTGTGCAAAGAGCATGAATCAAAAATATCAGAAAGAATGAACTTTGATGCCTTCAAACCTACATTCTTCCAGCAATCAATTTTAGAGACTCCCAATTGACAAATAGTAAAATAAAAAAAATTAAACAACAATGCATTTGAGTTAGTTCCAAAGGAGGGTAAGAAAGGCAAGCATTAAAGAGCTTTTTAGTCTAAGCTAGCCTGATCACTGAAATCAGATTAGCACCCGTCTGTTACTTGGTTTTGAACATTCTGTTCTATTTGTAACAGCCGTGACAGCAAAGAGTACTCTATGTCATGTAAAAACCCAATTAGGCCTGACTAAATGGAAGCCATTAAATGCTTTTCGTTGTCTAAAGAAAGAGGAAATATTGTTTTGGAATCAGCTTTATACTGGATTCTGAATATAGAGTTCAAAGCACACAAGCTCAGCAAGTTCAGTCAGCTTAGTGCAACAGTATGTTCTACTATCAGCCGATGGCATTCCACTTCGCTTTTCAATGTTTTCTGAATTTCAATGGCTATTGATTTAGTAACTCTTTTGTGGAAGCAAGAGAAGTTCAAGAAACTGAAGATTATCATCAGCAACAGACTGAAAGTGAATGTGCCCTGTCTTCAATTCTTTCTTAGAGAAGAGCAAGATGGCTTTTTCAAGTAGCTTAATAGCTTCTTACAACAGCAACTTACTAAGCTAAAATATTCTGTATTTATCTTACATTTTCCACTTTTACAAAGACATACTGGTAAGTATGTCCTCATTTTACAGAAGGAAGATGGCTACGGATGAGGTGGAGAACATAAACATATTAAAGTTTTGACAGAGTGTGTGTGATCCTAGATTTGAGCTCAACTGTTTAGAGATAGAGGTATGAGTCATTGCCAAAGAATCTGATTTGACTGAAATAAGTAGCAGAAATACTAGTAAGATTCTCTAGTTCTGATTACTTATTTCAATCACATCCATAAGAAATTGTAGTTCTGCTGAAGCAACCTGCTGTCACAATGACATGCAGCAAAGAGTGATATGACAATGAACAAGCTAATAAGATGAGAAAGAAAGCGTGTTAAAAAATGGAAAGGTGAACTCATTACAGGCAATGTTTCTAAACAAGAGCACTGGATTTACATTGCAGGGAGGTAGTTATTCATGTTTAGCTCTGCTATCAGTCCACTAAGTGACCTTTAGCAAATCACTTCCCTACCGTTTGCCTGGATTTCATTTGTATATGAAGAGGCATCATATCTTTATATTGTAAAGAATGTAAAGATCAACTACTGAAAAATTACTATATGTGACCTACAAATTAATCATCCTTTTCATGGAGGAAACAGGCTTCTATATCTATTTTTTACTTGAAAGGACAAGAGAAAATTGAACAAAACAATTTAAAAAATTGCTATAGACAGAAATTTGATGAAGTAGGTAAACACTTCAGAGTATTAAGACATAGTAAGACACTTTTCTGTGAAATTTGAAAGATTTTTGCGAAGTATCCATGGTACTTTACAATGAAGGCAACGTTTCTGTCACCAAATTTCATGCCATGCCAATATAGCTGCCATTCCGTCAGCCATGGCAGCTATATTAAATAAAACATTTATGTGTGATTTTACTCCGTGTTTGTACTAGGAGTTAATATACATCAAATAAGGTTATGTTGCTGGTTGAAAGTAATTGGGACACAAAAGTGGAGTACACACACATACCTTGACTTGCTGGTCTCTTTGCTTTGAATCTTCCAGCTGTTGCTGTAAAGAACTCACTATCTCTTTATACTTCATATACCTTTCCTCAATCATCTCCCTTCGGCAATGGGACTCCTAGAAATTATTGAAAAATCCAGATGATTTCACAATGTGAAAATTAGTTAGTGAATGTTGTCTGACTGTTGTAAACACAGGTATTGTCAAGGATTTTCCATACAGCAAGAATGAGTTAAATATTAACTTTCAGAGGCTGAAATACAGGGGCCATATGAAAGCATAATGTTCTGTACAGAAAAATAATGGTAAAATAAAAATAAGTTAAAATGGAAATGGTCTCATCCTTAACTGATGAATGACTACTTGTAATTCTTTCCAAAACTCAGCAATATCATACCTTTTAACAAAGAAATTCTATAATGGTGCAAAATTAATTATAGTACTGTAGAAACAAGCACTTGAAGAAAAAAAGGTTCTAAGGATATGGACTAAACAGTATTTTCAATAAGAAACCATAATGGTTCTGACTGAACAAGCTAATGATTTACTTGAATTAAGAGAACTCCAAGATAACCTGTGAGGTTTATCAAAGATTTACTTTCTCTATCCTTCTGTCTTCCTACGAAAACATTAAGGGAAGAACTGGCTAGAAGTGGAAGACAATGACTGGTTTTGAAATACTTCATTCATGCATACCATTTGAGAGTGAAACGTGCTATTGTACAAAAAATCCAGTGTTATTTTTGAATAGAAACATTAATGAAACTCTAATCTGACATCCTTCTCACAGCAATGTTAAGCAAGAAAGGGCAAGTGTGAAGAAGGCTGTAGATACCCCACATTCAAGCCTTTGCTTTGCCTGCTAAAAGCAGAATTTTTCCTTTAGCAGAAACCGAAGACAAACACCAACCTCTGTCAGAGCAAAAAAGCTCTTCTAGAGATATCTGCACATGAAATTAAAACTGTATATCTCAATGATACTTTTTGTAAAAAAACCCAAGCATTTTAACCAGCATTTCCATTCCTAACTCTGTTAATGATGACAGCAATAAAATTATTAGCTGATGACCTCAGGCAAGAACATTTAGAATAAAGAGTGCTCCAAGCAATTATCTTTTGAAATTTTTATTACTACCTCAGGATGAAAAATTCAATATAGCAAATCAAATGCAAATCATTATGCATTTGTTGATCTGTGGTTTACCACTGATTTAAAATTTATATTTTGCAAGGAGGTTCCAAACCAACTTCATATATGGAAAGTAATTATGGCATAGGGGTTTAGCCACTTAGCTACTGAAGATCTAATCTGAGGCTTATCATTCTTGACAGAATGTCACCACTACTGTCAATATGTTTCAATGTGTCCAAACACACCCTGATTTGATAGTGGAACTGAGAAAATAAATTATAATTATTGTCATTATGTCAAAACAAACAAAAAGCTGTAAAGGTCATCTATCTTCGCTCACTATGTTAAATATTGAAATAATTTATCTAATTACAAAAATTTCATTTTTTAATATCAGAATTTACCACTCAACACAAATATTCGGAACCAGTAACTAGCACATGACCCATTATGCCCTGTTATCAACGTTTGCCTACATTTTGGAGAACCTCACTGATGTTACTATTTAGAACTAAATTTATAGCCTCAAATAAATCTATAATCATGAAAATTAATTTCTGTATGTTTTTGTCTATATAACATGTGCATATACAATTGTAAATATCTTATTAAACAATTTATCTGCACATTTAGAGAGAAAATTAATTAACCAAAATATTTTACAACTACTGAAAGAGTCAAATAAAGTCCTTCTCACTCTAGTATCTTTCAAATCTTCTAACAGGCTCAGTTTCTCAGGAACAGACTCCAGATGGTCTAAAGCTGCTCGAGTGCTCTAGAGAACAGAACACAAGTTAAAACATAAAAAAATAATTCTTTCCTCCATATAAAACATTAAAGCCCTATTGCAGCTATGGAAACAGGTTTATAGGTACGTATGTGTCTGTAAATTGAACAGGTCAACAGTAAACAGGCTGTTAAGGAAAATAGTCACATTAAAACACATAGCACAGCTTCCTTAATTTGAATCTCCATGATCGGTTACCAGTTTATTGAGTAGAACAATACTTATCTACAATTGTGGAGTTTATGTAGCCTTCAGAATGAAATTTTCTTTTATTGCACTTCAGGGAGTAAAGTACATTTAAAATAGTAAAAACATCCTTCTAGTTTTTTTCAAATACAAATATATGCAATGAGCACTTAGCTAGATACAGAACAATCAAATTTCCTATTTTTGGTTTAGGTATATGGTAGGTACTGCTGAAAAATGAATTATCACTCTAGGGAAAGTTAGGGTTGGACTCAAGATTTCACATCCACACCCAAAACACAAAAATCTAGTCTATTGCAAGCTGCAAAGAACTGAAGAAAGTAAGTATCATGGTTTTGGTTTTGGACACAGACGAAGTTGGTTGGTCATGCATAAGGAGTAGTCATGCTCCATAGGCCAGATGCCTCTGCAGCTTCTCAAAGGTTGTCCTTCTATTATTTGCTGAAGAGCCAGTAAAACCAGTACTGTTTGCACTTTCTGAACAATTGGTATTTCCTCCAGAATTCTATAAATCATACCTCTTTGGATAAGGTTCTGCTAACCTGGTACTCAATCTACCAATAATGGGCTTCATTAACCATATTACTGCCTTGGTACTTTAAAGGAAAAATCTATAAAACAAATAAAATTCATCAATCCTGAAGTCAAATATCATTATGGTGTAAAGTCTATGCAAACTGAGTTAATTTGCCCTTAATTACAAAAGCTCTGTTACTAGTCTTGGAAAGCCTCAATCTGACCAACATGAAAAACATTCCATTTAGATCCCATATTTAAGATCTGAAGAGACTAAATATTTCAGTCACAACAGGATAAGAAAAATCAATGGGAACCTCTCAGCCCAAGTGCAATCTATACAAAAAGATGGAGATGATGAGTGGAGAACTAAAATGGAACAGAGTAACATAAATGCAGACACACCATCAACTTAGAAGCAATGATGTCTGCTTTGTTGTCACTTCCAAACATTCAGTTTTTAAGACTGTAAAAAATATTTTTCCCATAACAAACAAAGGTCAAATTTCATAAACAATGGGGTTCATTTTTTACGGAGAGAGTAATCAGATACTGGAATGGGCTGCCCAGGGAGGTGGTGGATTCACTGTCCCTGGAGGTCTTTAAGATGAGACTGGATGTGGCACTTAGTGCCATGGTCTAGTAACCACGGCAGTGTTGGATCAAGGGTTGGACTTGATTATCTCAGAGGTCTTTTCCAACCCCATTGATTCTATGATTCTATGATTTGCAGTTCACAGGACTGAAATTGTAACTGATATTCAGTCCCAATAAACTCAGCTAGGGTAGAGAATGTGAGACTCGTTCTTCTGTAATTACATGTATGCAAAAATATTATATACACAGAAGTATTTCTCTATTTTCTGTAATTAGGAAAAATTTGTACTGACAGATAATATGCTGACAATATTAGGGCATATTTCTATGAAACAACCATATGGTTAAATCAGTTTTCCAGATATTTGGGGGATCTTTTCCTCTGAGACTATTAAGTTTCAAATAATATCTCCCATTTTCTAGGAATAAATTTTGACCCTTAGATTGTATGCTTAGATAAAAAAGACTGTCTTATCCCACCGTTACATTCTGCACTAGGAATGCAAAATGCAGGAGAGGAATATTTGGGAATTCCCAAATCTGACCCTTTTATCTCCGGATAATTTCTACACTTCACAGTAGAGTAGATGATGCAGTGCAGAAGAGAAAAAGAATACATTACAGTTAAATGTGCTAGAACAATAACATTATCACAGGTAAAGGGAAAGAATTTTACAAGAGGGTTGGATGAATTGTTGCTTCAAGAACAATAGGAAGAATAAACCACCTACAGAATGGGGTAAAAGGACTGACCCGCAAGCAAGGATATTTTTAGATTTTAAGAAGTACAGGAAGAACTGTCAAAAGTGAAACAGAGTAAAAGAAAGATTTTAGTCATTTAGTGAGAACAGGCAAACAGAAATGAGACAGGGAAAATAAGGTGAAGATTGTTTAGGTAAGAACACAAAACCAGAATGAGTCATTTTGCTTTTCTTTTATACTAACACATTCATTCAGTTAGATTTTTAAAAATTTACAGAATTATACAAGAATACCTATATGAAGTTATGCCTGAAAGATAGGTAAGTTATAATAAATAACATAATATGCTTCCTTAAATGGGCAGCATTGAGGACGCACAGTATGAAGAAGTCCCTAATAGCAACACTGAATACTGCCCATGGCAAATGTTGTAAAATGCCTGAAAGGACAGAAAGGTGCCTACTTGTGTCGACTTGCAGCAAATAAAGTAGAGCAAATCAATTTTGCAAAACTCAAAGTTAGAATTAGTAAAGGTTACTTCTTCCAGCAAGAAAACATCTGCTGCATGAGAAAGGAAGTTCAGTGAATTCCACACTTAGCTAGCTGTGGTTTGGACCAAAACTACCATTTATTATCTTCATGAGAAGTCTTATATTTTAATGTGTAACTTCACTTGTAATAAGATTTTTTTACTTGAAAAATTCACCTAAGATTTTATAAAGAAAAAAGAGAAAAAAATTACTTTTTCTGTAACATGTATGGTTCTTCACCAAAAAATAATTACAGAATCTGCAGTTATATATTAATAATGAATATATAAAACGGATTCTTCTTCATATTTCTGGACGCAATCAAGCAGGAGGCCTACACATTACATTTGAAGTGGTTTTCACAGATTACAGTGTAGAAATGTTTTTATAGCTATAAAATAGCACCTTTCTTCTTTTAATTTTTCAAATGCCTCTAAACATCTCCGCTCGAAAGTAAAATTGCCTAGCGGTATCTATCAATTGCTAATGTTTTCCTCTTATAAGAATCAACCATTTCACTTTTACCACAGTAAAGTAGTATTCATTCGTATTTTGTGCTTCTTTTACAGTGGCCATATGTTCATCAAAGCAGAGATTTTACACACCATTAACTTATGATGAGATGCAATGTTTGCTGCTTCTTCCCAGAGTAGCCCCTGGTACTGGTCTGTATGTGGGTTTCTAAGTTGAGACAACAGACCCTAAGGAATACAAACTTAACTATATGTGAAACGAAATACTGAATCCTAATGTTCAGCCATGATCCTAGTATCACACTGATCTGATGGAGACATGTCCACAAAGTTTTTTTACTTTGAACACCAGCAACTCCTCTACCCTGTCAGAAATACAATGCTTCCTCACAGGAAATAACCCCAAAATTGTAATACCCTGCAATCTCTCTTCTTGGTCCAGCACCAAATTAAACTACAAATATTTTAAACTTATGGTATGTATTACCTAACACATTTTGCTAAAGTCTTTTACTTATGAACTGCAGAAAAATGTAAATTTGAGATGTCACATAGTTGAAATAAAGTTTTCTGGGACACAGGACAGACTTAACGGAGTGGCTCCTCATCATGATATACTGTACATTCAATTTATAGCATTTTTTTTCAACTACAGAGATTTTTTCATTTCCCCCCACTATGCCCCATTTTAATAAAGATGACCTGTGATCTATTCTGAGCAAAAAAGGAACTTAGGCCCTAGGTATAAGCCCATGCCTTAAGCCATCCTATTTTTCAATTCTTTCTCTAAATTCCAATGCCAAGACCTCATGTCTGTAAACAAATTTAAGGAAGATGTTAATCATCTGTTCTTCCAAAGTCTCTCTTAAATATATCCCCTTTATTTCATGCACTGTTGTAGAAGAAAAAATAAATTAGCTAAATTTCCACTAGTCCTCATTAGCTACATTATTAAATGTAATCTTGGAAGCAGAAGATCAGCCTTTGCATTATATGCATACTCAGCCCTTGGTTTTTTGGTTTTGTTGAGAATCATGAGGATAAAGGATGACATAGGCTACTTGGATTTCTGAAAGGTGTTTTAGATTCCTAAAATTTAAACCTAACTTCACACTCAAAATGATGGGCTCTAAGCTAACCGTTACTACTCAGGAAGTACACCATGGGGAAATGATACATATTACCAAGACCTGCTAACTCAGTGTTCAGTATCAATCAGAAAAGCAAAATCAACACTCAATTTAATCAGGAAAGGAAAAAAAAGCTAGAGAAACTATTACTGAGTATGAATCCACTTGCACCTTAACTATTGAGTGCAGAGATGGACTTTTATCTCAGAAGAGAAACACGGAAAGGTCAGAGAAGTACAATAAGAATGATCAAAGCCATGGAGAAATTATTAAATACACTTAGTCTAAAGAACAGGACTCTTCAGCCAGGAAGCGAGATGCATGAGGGGAATAATAACCAATTTGCAAAAAATCACATAAAGAAGTCACATAAAGATAGAAAATTTTATATGGCTTTAAGCAGAAAACTGTGCAATTTAATGAATGAGGAAGACCATGGAGCAGTTCCAAATTCATAGAAATTTCATTTCAGTATGCATGTCTTTGAGCTTTGAACAGCCGGAATCAGAAGGAATGAGTGGGAAACAAAATATATGTCAGTCTTGATCATGCAGTCTTCCCTAAGCATTTTATTTTGACTATTGTTGTGATGTCTATAGCTGGGTTAGAGTGACCTTGGCTCTAAACCAGAATGGTTCCTTTTATATTCTAAAATTCTCACAGACTTCTGAGCAGTTTGTGGAGTGACTTGAATTACTCATACACAAACATTTTCAGGGACAGAAATGTGTGCCTCTCCCGTAAAACTGATGAAAAGAAAGGTAGTGATGTGCAAATAAAAACAGAAAATGAAAAAAAGCCAAGTTTGTTAGGGGAAATGCAATAAAGAAGGT